ACTTGCCTGTATTTGACTTGGGACTTGACTCGGACTTGAGGTCAAAGACTTGAGACTTACAAAATGATAACTTGCTCCCACCTCTGCTATGGAGACTCAAATTTTGGACCTCTAACCTGTAACAAAAATAAAATGACAGTAAATTAAAAGTAGGTGCAAGAGGAAGCAAAAAAATAAATAAGTAAATAAAATTAAATTAAAAATACAAATTACTTTAAATTAATCGCTAAAAATTTGATAAAAATTCTATTAAAATCCAAAAATAATTCAAAATAAGTTGCAAAAATAACAGTAGACCGGTGTCAAATAAGGCATAATGATATAAGTGTAAGCGTACAAATAAAAGTTTATGGCACAGTGGCTGAGTGGCTAGCACTCAAGCCTCAGAGCAAGAAGGTTCTGGGTTCGATCCTCGGGTCGCCCGGGCCTTTCTGTGTGGAGTTTACATGTTTCTCCCCGTATCTGGATGGGTTTCCTCTGGGTGCTCTGGTTTCCCCCATCAACCCAAAACATGCTACGTAGTTCTCCATAAACAGTTGATAGTCATGTTAAATACAATCAGTTCAGTCATTGTGTCCTTAGGCAAGACACTTCACCCACATTGCCTAGTATGAAAGTGGTCTGACTGATGGCGCCGAGTGGCATGGCAGCCGCGCTTCTGTCAGTGTGTCCCAGGGCAGCTGTGGCTACAATAGTAGTTTACCATCACCAGGTTATAGAGTGAAAGAATTAATGCTGTGTAAAGTGTCTTTGGGGACAGAAAATGTCTGTGAAAGCGCTATATAAATAAAAGACTTACTAAAAATTCTAAATATAGAAATATAATACAAATATTTCTGCTTGTGGACATTTTTTGGACTTGTGGAGGCCTGTCTTTTTCCCTTGAGTTGAACATTATCTTTTTTCTTGAATGTATTGTGTTTTTGTGGAGAGATTAGTGACATTTTTGACCTTCGTGACTCTCCACTTGCGCATGCTGAGAATTTAAAAACAGTTTTGGTCCAGTTTCCTTCGTCACTGTCGTCACATACAGAGCAGAAAGGATACAAGCGTCAACACTGATGTATTTGCACTGGTGGAAGATACAAAGTACAAAAGTATAAGTACAAATGTTAAGTATCTGTACTTTACTTAAGACCTGGTTTAGAGTTGCTTTAGTCCTGGTTTAGACCTGCTTTAGTCCTGGTTTAGACCTGGTTTAGACCTGGTTTAGACCTGGTTTAGTCCTGGTATAGACCTGGTTTAGACCTGGTTTAGTCCTGGCTTAGACCTGGTTTAGACCTGGTTTGGAGTTGGTTTAGATCTGGTTTAGATCTGGTTTAGATCTAGATTAGATCTGGTTTAGACCTTGTGTAGACCTGATTTAGATTTGGTTTAGATCTGGTTTAGTCCTGGCTTAGTCCTGGTTTAGACCTGGTTTAGACCTCATTTAAACCTGGTTCAGACCTTGTTTGGTCTTGGTTTAGACCTGGTTTAGATCTGATTTAGTCCTGTCTTAGACCTGTATTAGACCTGGTTTAGTCCTGATTTAGATCTGGTTCAGACCTGGTTTAGTCCTAGTTTACTTTAGTATTGTTTTAGTCCTGGCTTAGTTCTGGTTTAGATCTAGTTTAGTCCTGATTTAGACCTGGTTTAGACCTGGTTTAAACTTAGTGTAGTCCTGGTTTAGACCTAAATTAGATCTGGTTTAGACCTGGTTTGGACTTGGTTTTAGCCCTGGTTTAGTCGTAGTTTAGACCTATAGACCTGGTTTAGTCCTAGTTTAGACCTGGTTCAGAAGAGTTTGTGATTGGGTGTTATTAAGTCTAATCCTTCCAGTCTCAGCGTTACAGAAGAGAACACTGATATGACCCGAGCTGTGCGGACTTGGGGAAAGAGTTCTAATTTAAGGTGATTTTCACAAAAGAGCGGAGTCAGCAGGATCTGTGCTGGAGTGGTCATCAAAACCTGAGGCGAAGTATCTGCTGTCCACCAATTTGCTCTAACAAGGCTAAAAACGGCAACAAAAATGGCCGTGACGTGTTTGATATTGTTCAAATGAAAAATGGCCTAACCACTTACATGGTTTTAAAACGGGCACTAGAATCACAGATGAAACTGGGTTGCTAGTTTTTTTTTCTCTCATTTTCAATGTCTGGACAGCAGAGTACCCTAACCCATGAAATGAAAAACTCATGGGCCACATCTCATTTCTCTTTCTCTCCTGAGACTAATTCATTATTATTTTAGCAATCAGACGTGTGCTAAAACGTGGCTGTAAATATGTGGGTTTAGATTCAAATAACAAACAAATATATCTGAAATACGATTATACATTGTTTTTATTTGAGATCTACAATATTCAAACTGATAATATCGCCAAATATCGCATTATACGGTATACTGCTTAAATACAGTCCTGGTTTAGACCTGGTTTAGATCTGATTTAGACCTAATTTAGACCTGGTTTGGGCTTCATTTGGATGTTATTTAGACCTGGTTTAGAATTAATGTAGACCTGGTTTAGACTTGGTTTAGACCTGATTTAGACCTGGATTAGACCTGGTTTAGTCCTGGTTGAGATCTGGTTGAGACCTGATTAAGACCTATCTTAAACTTGGCTTAGATCTGGTTTAGACCTGGTTTGGACTTCGTTTAGACTGGTTTAGACCTGGTGTAGACCTGGTTAAACCTGGTTTAGACCTGATTTAGACTTGGTTTAGACCTGGTTTAGATCTGGTTTAGACTTGGTTTAGACCTGGTTTAGTCTTGGTTTAGACCTGATTTTGACCTTGTTTTAGACCTGGTTTAGACCTGGTTTAGACCTGGTTTAGATCTGGTTTAGATCTGGTTTAGAATTGATTTAGTCCTGGTTTAGACCTGATTTAGACCTGGTGTAGACCTGGTTAAACCTGGTTTAGACCTGATTTAGGCCTAGTTAATACCTGGATTAGACCTGGTTTAGTCCTGGATTAGACCTGGTTTAGTCCTGGATTAGACCTGGTTTAGTCCTGGATTAGACCTGGTTTAGTCCTGGTGTAGTCCTGGTTAAGACCTGGTTGAGACCAGTTTAAACTTGGTTTAGACCTGGTTTAGATCTGGTTGAGACCAGTTTAAACTTGATTTAGACCTGGTTTAGATCTGGTTTAGACCTGGATTACACCTGGTTTAGTCCTGTTTTAGACGTGTGCTGTAACGCGCCTGTAAATTGGTTTAGAATCAAATAAGGCACAAATATGTATGAAATACGGCGATACCATTGTTTTTATTCTAGATTCACCATATTCATACTGATAATGACGCATTATACTGTGAACCTTGTTTAAATCCAGGCTCTGATCTGTTTCTATGCCCATAAACTTGCCCAGTTTTTTAATATTGTTTGAAATAACCTGTGAATGTGACATGTCCTCAAAGTTCGCAGTTATCGTAAGGAAACAAAGCAGGATCAGCAGACCTCCACTGGACTTCTTTAACGTACTTGCACGTCAGCGGCCCGTATCATCGCCGCTCAGTCATAACATCACGTCAGTATCATGAGCTCATACACGGGGGCATGGGCAGTGACGAAGCCGCTGTGCGCACTCACCCCGACCCTGACGAGCTCCGCACACTTTGTCCCTTTTTCTGCTCCTCCAAGGCCAGAGTAGTGCCATGAACCCATCGCATTTTCAAGATTACCACATGCAGTGTGTAACTTTCTGTTGGAGGTCCGTCCCTGCGTGTTTCTATGGATATGTCAGTCTGCCTAAAATGTTCCACAGTATGACATTAAACAGCTCTACTTTAAATTTATTCATTACTATATTTTTTGGACTATAAATCGCTCCTGAGTATAAGTCGCCCCAGCCAAAAAATGCGTAATGAAGAAGAAAAAATATGTATAAGTCGCACTTTTTGGGGGAAATTTATTTTATAAAATCAGAGACCAGGAACCGACATTTCATCTTGAAAGGCAAATTCTAGTAATAACAAAAGAAGAGAAAACAACAGACTGTTAACTTCACATATGAACAGTTCTTCAGATAAACTATCACATAAACAACAGAACAGAACAAGTTTACCAAACTCTCCATCTCACTCCAAATCACCAAATCCATTGAATTCTTAATCCTCAATGTCACTTTTGAGCAACTCCACGACCTCTGGAGGTAAACAGAGAAGTGTGTAGCTGTCATCAGAGTCAATTTCAGTTAGAATTATTCCGGCCTTTTTATTTAAGGCAGAACACCATCATAAATTTTGGATATGTTAAAAACTTACATCTAGTCTTTCTAAAATAGTCCATTTTATATTGGCGGGTGCTGTCATTTTTTTGGTATAACATGATAAAAATGACGCCAAATTATTATTTTTTCCTTTTTTAACCCTTAATATCTTCTAGACTGTTCATCACAGAGGGTCAGTTTTAAAATACAAAGTACACAGCATGTGTGGGAAGGTGTATGTTCAATATAAAACCTCTGTCTTTGAAATTGTACTTTCCACAGTCCTTCTAAGATGCCCTCATATTTGAAGAGTAGAATTTTCAAGCAAATTCAAGCCCCCAGAAGTCTGTGATAAATCAAAAGCACGTGTGCAAAAGTCCAGATTCTACAAGTATATTTGCCAAATTTTAACCCTTGAAAATTTGAAGTACCGACCTTAAATCGTTTTTTAGATATAGTAATCTGAAAGTGGCTCCTCTGAAAACTCTGCTCAAAACAGGTCAGGGGGGAGTTGACAATATTTTTTAATGACAAAACTATAATCAGTTGGGAGATAAAATGTGGGACTTTTCCTGTTGGAAAGTGTGTGAACCTTCTAGAAATTACAGTTTTAAAGTAACTTGTTGTGGCAATAACATCTCCATTCTTTTATGTTTTTGTAAGGTCAATGGGGAAAATAATGGGAAATTTACTTAAACTCCTACTTTGCCACATATTTGGAAAGGAGTACCCTTTGAACCAGGACATGATAGAGGTGGAGCAACAACAGCAGTATCAGCAATTCACGTGAAATGAAACTTATAACAGAGAGAAGACAAAACTGCGTGGAGTGTTTTTCAGAAATCGTAATACAACAGTTTGACGTCCAAAAACTCAAACACAAGATTCTGGTGAGTATGTGTAAAGCAAGTTAGAAAATAAATGAGTATGTTGTCTGGATAATGTTCACATTATGTAATCAACACTAATTCTGCATGTGGTATGAGCAGGTAATGATAATAGTATTTGAGTAGTATTTAGGGCACATGAATATGACTTGCTTACACGGCCAAATTACCATTAAAGTCAGTAGCTGTTTCAGTGTACAGTACAATTATAGGCCAAGGTGTGACATAGGTAATCAGTGCCATTTTCTAAGAAGGCTCTTCAGTTGCATACAAACAAAAGACTGTTGTACGCAAGAGCAAGTAAGGAGAGAAAATGTGAAATAACACAAAACATAAAACTCAGACTTGAACTTCTGCAACTGTTAATGTCAGGGTCATATTTAACCCCAACACTGAACCAAATGTTCTCTCTCCTGTTGTAGTGATGGCCGCTGTGAGCTGTACTCTCTCTGAGGATCAGTTCCTGTGCTCCATCTGCCTGGAGGTCTTCACTGATCCAGTCACTACACCGTGTGGACACAGCTTCTGCAGAGTCTGCATCAACAAACACTGGGACAGCAGCCACCGATACAGCTGCCCAATCTGTCAACAGGACTTCAGCTCAAGACCCCAGATGAAAGTCAACACTTTTATTGCAGAAATGGTCTCTCAGTTCAATAATAAGCCTGAAGATAAAGAAACTGTGAGCTCCAAACCCCAGTCCTCTGCTCCAGGAGAGGTGAGCTGTGACCTGTGTCCAGAGCCCAGACTCACAGCCCTGAAGTCCTGCCTGGTGTGTCTGGCCTCGTACTGTCAGATCCACCTGCAGCCCCACCTCACAAACCCCCGTCTGAAGAGGCACCAGCTGATCCAACCTCTGCCCAACCTGGAGGAGCGCATCTGCCCTGAGCACGACCGACCTCTGGAGCTCTTCTGTAGGGAACACTCACACTTCATATGTCTGCTCTGTATGTCTGAAGACCACAAAGACCATCAGACAGTCCTCCTGAAGGAGGAGGGTGAGGAGCACCAGGCCACGCTGAAGAATCAGATTAAAGAAAGACATCAGAAAATCAAGGAGATCCGGCGCTCAGTGGAGCTCAGTCAGAGAAACGCAGACACAGAAATACAAGAAGGTCTCAGAGTCTACAACGCTTTGATGGAGTGTGTTCAACAAAGTCTGGACAAGTTCAAACGGAGCATTGTAAATAAGCACAAGAAGAAGAAGAAGAAGGCAGCTCAGCTGATAAAGCAGATCCAGACAGAGATCTCTGTGTTGGAGCAGAGAGGAGCTGAGATGGAGCAGCTCTGGAGCTCTGGAGACCACCTGCACTTTGTACAAACCTTCACTTCAGTCAAACCTGCTCCACAGCTCAATGACTGGACCAAGGAGACTGTGAGGGTCCCATCGTACAAGGGGAGAGTGGGCCAGGCTGTGTCTGAGCTGAAGAAGACACTTAATACAGAGATGAAGAAGTTCTTTAAATATGAAATAGAAAAAGTACAAGGGTTTGCAGTAAAGGTGTCTCTAGACCCAGACACAGGGCATCCAAACTTAGTTCTGTCTAAAAATCTCAAACAGGTTCATTACAGTAATCTAAAAATATATCTCCCAGATAATCCTGAGAGATTTTCTTATTGGTTGTGTGTATTAGGGAAAGAAAAGTTCTCATCAGGAAAGTTTTATTTTGAGGTCCAGGTCAAAAGAAAGACTAAATGGGAATTAGGAGTGGCCAAAGAGTCAGTGGACAGAAAAGAAGAAGACAATCAGACTGTACAGAGAGGATACTGGACACTCTATATGGTCAGTGATGAGTATAAAACATCAGACGAACCTCCTGTAGTTTTCCCTGTGAGTTCCTCTCCAGAGAAGGTGGGAGTGTTTGTGGATTATGATGAAGGTCTGGTCTCCTTCTATGATGTGAATGAAGAATCTCTTATTTACTCTTTCACTGGCTGTGGTTTCACTGAGAACATTCTGCCACTGTTCAATCCATGTAACTATGATGATGGTAAAAACATTTCTCCTCTGGTCCTTTCTCCCATTAACAGCTCTGCAGAATAAAGATCTTCTCATAAAAGAGAGGTTTTTGACGACCTTAACCCAAAAATCTACTGATAGAAAAACCTGATCCTGTAGTATGTTGAGGCAGTCAGCTTACTTCTGTAACCGGGTGGTTAGCAGGGACTAGTTTTTGTGGTCCTACCGGAGCTTTCGGTGGCTACTGAAAGGGTACCAGAATTGTTTCTCTTTTAGTGCTTCTCTTAGAACTTGCCTTAAGGTGATATTTCTGATTACTACGTTTTAAGGTGTTGTCTGGAGCAGGCAGTGGTGACGACAGCTGCTCCTAACGCACTCCCGGTCCCATGTAGGGTACTCTCCTTCTAGAAGCCAGGTAGAGGAAGAAGTCCTTAGGAATTCTCTCGCAAAGTCTGATTTCATAGTTCACCCTTAAGTTCCTTTTATCTATAGAGTTAGTGTAGTTGCTATAGGCAAGGCAAGGCAAAGTTTATTTGTATAGCACAATTCATACACAAAGTAATTTAAAGTGCTTTACAGAATAAGAAATACATTAAAATCACAATAAAACAAATCAAAACATAAATAATCATAAAGATTAAAATAAAAAAGAGAGAGACATAAATTAGAGAGAAGATAAATTAGATAGTGTGTGCATTTATTGGCTGGGGTAGTATGTGCAATGTAATATCACCTTGCACTTTAAAACATCTAAATTCTCAGAGTACTTAAGCCCACACACTGAGCACTTTACATAAAAAAAAAAAAAAAAAAAACACAAAAAAAACAACTATGGCACATTTTTATATATATTTGCGCAGCACTAGCCGTTTGATTTGGTTTGATTAATCTTTGGTTTTACATTACTAATATTGTTTGTTGAGTGATTTAGTTTAGTTGAGTCCCAGGTTTCAGCTCCAAATTGTTGTGTTGAATGTGTACTTTTTTAAATGTGTAAAATGAACTCTTTTTTATTATTAACTAAATAAAGAAATGTATTTTTTTCCCTCACTATTTATTTCCTTTGTCATATGTTTTAGCCCCTCTCCCTCTCCAACTTTCATAACATGCCCAGTTAATTCTCTGAGGTAATTTTCAGTCAAACTTTCGTCATTTAGTCTGTGAAATTGCTGATTTTCTGTTTCAAGTATTGTAGTTTTTGTTGGGAAAAAGAGAACTATGATGGTTTATGTTAACTCTTTAATTCTTACATTTTTATTTATGTCAGTTCATGCTGCGCTCAGACCAGGAAGGAGGAGGGCGTCTATGAACTATACTCTTGTGTACAAAGAAGAGGATTTTTATCATGGACTTCCTTTGTCTCTCTTTTTAAGTTTTAATTACATGATAACTAGAGAAAAAGAAAACTAAGAATATAATGTAAACACTTTTGACTTATGATTTTGTCACTGACTTATTTTGTGTCACAATCTGTTATGGTGCAGGGAAAATAAACGATATGGAGTAACCATGGCAACAGTTTTTAATTTTAATTGTTAATTATTTTAAAGGGCTCATATTACACTATTTTCTCATGTATGTTATAATGTTGTTTCTTCATCAAAAAACAGACCTGGAGTTGTGTTTTGTTTCATTCACTCATAAACAGAAGCTGAAAGGAGCTGTTAAGTCAAAAACTACCACTACATGACATCACAAGGTGCAATAGAGTATTTTGAGATTTGGAGATGTAAACAGACGAATAATAAAGAGTTACTGAAACATGTGTGAATGAAACAAAACACAACTCCAAGTGTGTTTTTGATGAGGTAACAGGATTATAACATAGATCAGAAAGTAGCGTAATATGAGCCCAGTTAAAATGAAAAAACTGCTCACTGTATGTAAAACAGTATGTTGTTTGAATAAGGTTTGGATAATGTATTCAACACTAACTCTGCATGTGGTATGAGCAGCTAATGGTCATAGTATTTGAGTAGTATTTAGGATACATGAATATTATCAAACTGCTTACACGATGTACAGTGCAGGTAATCAATGGCATTTTCTAAGAAGGCTGTTGTGGTGCAACCAAATATGTGCCTTATTATTATTATTATTAGTAGTAGTAGTAGTAGTACTGGTAGTAGTATTAGTAGTACTAGTAGTAGTAGTAGTAGTAGTAGTAGTACTGGTAGTAGTAGTAGTAGTAGTAGTAGTAGTAGTAGTAGTAGTACTGGTAGTAGTGGTGGTAGTGGTAGTAGTAGTACTACTACTAGTAGTAGTAGTAGTAGTAGTAATAGTGGTAGTAGTAGTAGTAGTGGTAGTAGTAGTAGTAGTGGTAATAGTGGTGGTAGTAGTAGTAGTAGTGGTAGTAGTGGTAGTAGTAGTAGTACTGGTAGTAGTAGTAGTAGTAGTAGTAGTAGTAATAGTGGTGGTAGTAATGGTAGTAGTAGTACTTTTAGTAGTGGTAGTAGTAGTACTTTTAGTAGTGGTAGTAGTAGTACTGGTAGTAGTGGTAGTAGTAGTACTGGTAGTAGTGGTAGTAGTAGTACTGGTAGTAGTAGTAGTAGTAGTAGTACTGGTAGTAGTAGTAGTACTGGTAGTAGTGGTAGTACTAGTAGTAGTAGTAGTAGTAGTAGTAGTAGTGGTAGTAGTAGTAGTAGTAGTAGTAGTAGTAGTAGTAGTAGTAGTAGTAGTAGTAGTAGTAGTAGTAGTAGTAGTAGTAGTACTGGTAGTAGTAGTAGTAGTAGTAGTAGTAGTAGTAGTAGTAGTAGTAGTAGTAGTAGTAGTAGTAGTAGTAGTAGTAGTAGTAGTAGTAGTAGTAGTAGTAGTAGTAGTAGTAGTAGTAGTAGTAGTAGTAGTAGTAGTAGTAGTAGTAGTAGTAGTAGTAGTAGTAGTAGTAGTAGTAGTAGTTAGTAGTGGTAGTAGTAGTAGTACCTTTTAGTAGTGGTAGTAGTAGTAGTAGTGGTAATAGTGGTGGTAGTAGTAGTAGTACTGGTAGTAGTGGTAGTAGTAGTGGTAATAGTGGTAGTAGTAATGGTAGTAGTAGTACTTTTAGTAGTGGTAGTAGTAGTACTTTTAGTAGTGGTAGTAGTAGTAGTAGTGGTAATAGTGGTGGTAGTAGTAGTAGTACTGGTAGTAGTGGTAGTAGTAGTGGTAATAGTGGTAGTAGTAATGGTAGTAGTAGTACTTTTAGTAGTGGTAGTAGTAGTACTTTTAGTAGTGGTAGTAGTAGTACTGGCAGTAGTGGTAGTAGTAGTACTGGTAGTAGTGGTAGTAGTAGTACTGGTAGTAGTAGTAGTACTGGTAGTAGTGGTAGTACTAGTAGTAGTAGTAGTAGTAGTACTGGTAGTAGTAGTAGTAGTAGTTGTAGTAGTAGTAGTAGTAATTTATTTCCTGCAAATATTCTGAAGTAATTTCTAATATGTAATCCTGTGTGAATTATTATTATTATTAGTAGTAGTAGTAGTAGTGGTAGTGGTAATGGTTGTAATAGTAGTAGTAATTTATTTCCCGCAAATATTCTCAAGTAATTTATAATATGTAATCCCGTGTGAATTAGTAGTAGTAGTAGTAGTAGTAGTAGTAGTAGTAGTAGTAGTAGTAGTAGTAGTAGTAATAGTAATAATAATAGTAATAGTAATAGTAATTTATTTATCGCAAATATTCTCATGTATTTGTAATCTTGTGTGAATATGGGCGAATGAAGCGGGGGAAAAGCGGAACCTTTGGCAGTATAGTCGCTGTTCCCCATTGTTTACCCCGGACCGATTTCCCGTTCCCCTCAGACGCATCTGGACAAAAATACGAGCGCTCTTGTTCTTTTACAGGTCAGTATTCGGTTAGAATTGCCAAGAATGAAAACCTTAAGCGTCGTGTTACTTCTGTGTTAAATTAGATTAATGTTGTGATAATTTGTGTAGCTTTAAGTTGAGTTTGTTAAAGTTTTCTGAAGCGCGGCAAAGCAAATCAAAGTTAGTTACCGCGAGAGTTCGGCTGGTCCTCTTTATTTACGTGTAACTTTTATATTAGTCTTATATACTTAATCTATAGTGCTTTCAATTATTACCAAACGTCTCCGATTTTAGGTTCTCTGATTTTATTTGTGTTAAAGGACCCAACATGCAGTATTTGATCAAGTAATGGAGCAAGTGTATTATGAATGTGTTTATAATTATGTAGTGTCGTGAGATAAGCTAATAGTTCACATTCAGAGTGCTGTCCATATACAGTAAGAAATGTAATCCTGAGTTTTGCACTATGTTGATAGAAAGCAATGTAATTTTAAAGGCACTGTATGTGTTTTGTACTGGGTAGAAGTAACAGTGTATTTAGTAGTAAGTGAATTTAAGAAATCTATAGAATACATATGGAAGTAAATGCCTTTTATTTTGACTTTTATAGTAGTTTTGACTGTAAATTGTGTTGATATTGAAATAAGAGATGCAACCTGGGAAAAGATACAAGTGCTCCTGTTGTTCTTTCTCCAAAGGCCGCCACACACTACAGGATTTTTCAGTCTTAAAAGATTTTTAACCATGCAAAAATGCGCACACCACAGACACTATGAAAATCTTAAAAGATTTTAAATCTCTGATCGCAAAGACTGCGGCATTACATGCCTGTGTACAACAGGATACAAAGCTGTGAGCGCACCTCACGTCATCTGTTTCCCATCGAGAGTAAAATGACTGGCTTTGAGACCCTTAAGTGTTCAAAAGATCAGAGGTCTGCACTTCTAGTTTAGATACCAGTCAAAACTGTTATTATTTCTGAAATGTGGTGTAATAGTTCAGATATAAGATTTTTAATGCACAAAAGGCCGATTATAAAATTCACAGGAAGTAGAGTCACTATCACTAATCTGCAGCTTCATTGTGCGCTGTGTGGATGTAAACAGACACACATGAGGAAATACTCTTACCATTTTACCTTAAAAGAACACCTTAAAATGGATTAATAGTGCTGTTTTATGGACTGGGTGTCATTGTGTGCGGAGGACAAATTCTGTGGATTTTGTGGAAGAGATGCTGGAGTTCAGTTTTATATCTTTTGAGGCTTAAAGGTTAACTAACTAACCCAACCTAGTGATGGTGAGATGAAGCCTCATGAGGCACTGACCCACTTGAGCCAGTTGGTTCGAGAAAGGGTTCATTTCTCGAAGCTTCATGTGCGCATGAACCCACCTACTGGCCAAGTGTATAATCACAGGCAGCTGTATCTGAACCACATCATGTGTGATGCATTTAATTTTTGTGTCTGTTATGTCTGTTAGGAATGACTATGAATTACAAAAAAAATTATGACCAAATAATTTCTCTACATATATGATCACATATGTGTATAATACATTTTGTATTCACTGTGTGTAAATTTTTCCAAAATGGTAATATCATAATATGGCAGGTTAAACTGTTTTTCTGAAAATACCAGGGGCGTAATCAGGCAGAGGACAGTAAAAGTGTTTGTGGAACTAGGAAAAGGGCACAGATTATGCTTGTGTAACTTGTACGATGATGTACAGGGCAGGGGAAATTTTATTTATTTTTATTCAGAAACAAGAGTTGCTCAATAGTTTTTGGTTTTAAACGATTTAATTTATTTTTTTTTGACACAAGCTCTCCGACCTTGGAGATATAAACTCTATCCAAACTCTCAACTGACCGCAGCTCTCCTACAAACAGTCACATTTTGAATGGAGCCTGAAAGGTCTATATAGCTGCAATAGCTCACGGCAAAATCTGAACCACTTCTCGAAGCAATCCCATGGTACAACCGGGCAGCGAGGCTTTGGACGTCATTATTTTTGGCTCCTCCTCCAAATGAAGCAAGCCTTGTTACGAGCTTCATGGAAACACCCCCTTCATTACTCGACACACACTTTGAAGCCTTGGCACATCTCGTAACATCACTACCCCAACCCAATGGAGCCAGCTGGTGAGAGTAGGAGTGGGAAAGAAATTATTATCATCAGTCTCTGAGGCTAAACTTCAATGGATTTTGAAACACTGGGTATATGCATATTTACACATTATTTCACTGTTGTAATGAATACTCTGATTTTCAGATGGTTGTAATGCAACAATATACAATCTAAAGCAGACAACGTGCTCTCGATCAATTCTGGCCTTTCTCATTCGCCCAACCAGAGGAACTGATCACTACGCTGACCAGGCGACCCACACATCTACCAGTAAGAGACCTGATCCAAGTACTGATTGTGATTTTTCAAAATTTGCCACAGAATATCAACATTGCGTCCTCTGCCCTGATCGAGTGTTCATAACTATAGCTATAGTTAGACCTCTAGGCTGATTAAAGTTGAACCCCTGTTTAACTACCTCACTTTATTCAAATTTGGTGTATAACTGTTTAATTGAATGTCATAACGAGAACTTTGAAGTGTTAAATGCTTAATCTTTGATTGTTTTGATAAAATAAACCACCTCAAGGAATTCGAGTTTTAGTGATTTTTTTAAAGCTATTACCGAGCCCCTAACTGGGTACTTTTTTCTACTTTTCTTCAGACTGGTAGAATTTGTAGGTTTCTTAGGATTTATGGTGCCCTACGTGCTATTAGTATTACTACTACTTACTTATTTTAATGTTTTAATGCTACACCATTAAGATAGATAGACAGATTGACAATAAATCTATCTATCTTTGCATGAAATACAACAAAACTTCAACAGAGCAAATCTGTCGCAGTAAAAATGAATAAATATAGACACATCCTCACATCCAAATCAATAATACAAAAACATTTACTAAATAAAATAAATAAACACATATCTCACTTATACAATTCCACACGCAGAAATGTGTCACTGTGTCATCATTGCATTCTGTGGCTCTGTTACTGTGAATGTCAGAATCAGACCAACACTGAACCAAATGTTCTCTCTCCTGTTGTAGTGATGGCCACTGTGAGCTGTACTCTCTCTGAGGAGCAGTTCCTGTGCTCCATCTGTCTGGAGGTCTTCACTGATCCAGTCACCACACCGTGTGGACACAGCTTCTGCAAAGTCTGCATCAACAAACACTGGGACAGCAGTCACCGATACAAATGTCCAATCTGTCAACAGGACTTCAACTCAAGACCTCAGATGAAAGTCAACACTTTTATTGCAGAGATGGTTTCTCAGTTCAGAAATAAGCCTGAAGATAAAGAAATTGTGAGCTCCCAACCCTGGTCCACTGCTCCTGGAGAAGTGGGCTGTGACGTGTGTCCAGAGCCCAGGCTCAAAGCCCTGAAGTCCTGCCTGGTGTGTCTGGCCTCGTACTGTCAGATCCACCTGCAGCCCCACCTCACAAACCCCCGTCTGAAGAGGCACCAGCTGATCCAACCTCTGCCCAACCTGGAGGAGCGCATCTGCCCTGAGCACGACCGACCTCTGGAGCTCTTCTGTAGGGAAAACTCACACTTCATATGTCTGCTTTGCATGTCTGAAGACCACAAAGACCATCAGACAGTCCCCCTGAAGGAGGAGGGTGAGGAGCACCAGGCCACGCTGAAGAATCAGATTAAAGAAAGACGTCAGAAAATCGAGGAGATCCGGCGCTCAGTGGAGTTCAGTCAGAGAAAAGCAGACACAGAAATACAAGAAGGTCTCAGAGTCTACAACGCTTTGATGGAGTGTGTTCAACAAAGTCTGGACAAGTTCAAACAGGACATTGTAGAGAAGCACAAGAAGAACGAGGAGGAGGCAGCTCAGCTGATAGAGCAGATCCAGACAGAGATCTCTGCACTGGAGAAGAGAGGAGCTGAGATGGAGCAGCTCTGGAGCTCTGGAGACCACCTGCACTTTGTACAAACCTTCACTTCAGTCAAACCTGCTCCACAGCTCAATGACTGGACCGAGGAGACTGTGAGGGTCCCATCGTACAAGGGGAGAGCGGGCCAGGCTGTGTCTGAGCTGAAGAAGACACTTAATACAGAGATGGAGAAGTTCTTTAAGGCTGAATTAGAAAAAGCACAAGAGTTTGCAGTGGAGGTGTCTCTAGACCCAGACACAGCACAGCCAAAATTAGTTTTGTCTAAAGATCTCAAACAGGTTCATTTCAGAGACCAGAGACAGACTCTTCCAGATAATCCTGAGAGATTTTCTTGTTGGTTTTGTGTTTTAGGAAAACAAACGTTTTCGTCAGGAAAGTTTTATTTTAAGGTCCATGTCAAAAGAAAGACTGCCTGGAAATTAGGAGTGGCCAAAGAGTCAGTGGACAGAAAAGACACAAACCCTCAAACTGTACAGAAAGGATACTGGTTACTCAGGATGTATAGTGATCAGTATGAAACATCAGAGGACCCTCTGTATTTTTCCCTGTGAGTTCCTCTCCAGAGAAGGTGGGAGTGTTTGTGGATTATGATGAAGGTCTGGTCTCCTTCTATGATGTGGATGAAGAATCTCTTATTTACTCTTTCACTGAATGTGGTTTCACGGAGAACATTCTGCCACTGTTCAATCCATGTGACAATGATGATGGTAAAAACTCTGCTCCTCTGGTCCTTTCCCCCATTAACAGTTCTGCAGAATAAAGATTATTTATTATCAAGAAAGTTTGAGTTTATATTTAGTATAGTTGATGTTTCTGCACAAACTGGATTCAATGTGCCCAAAGACAGAGGTCAGCTGACTTCCTGAATATATTAAAGGACCAGGTTACTCCATCATTTCTTCACTGGTTCCGGAATAACCCCCTCTCACCACTGTAAGCCCGTGTATCACATCATCAACATCAACATTTATAGTTTTCTCTGTGTTCGTTTTCCTCCCGTTACGCAGCAGGCAATTGTCTATCCCACACGCTCCTCATCCAACAGCAGACCCACTGCTTTCTCTCACTCGCACCTGTTTGTCCCAGCAGTCCGCTCCCACGCCTCTCACCTGAGGTATGAGTGTCCACAGCTGCTCTCGCTGACCGCTCACATTCTTGTCTCACGGGTGTCTACTGCATTTGGTCCCACACAGGTGGATGTCTGGAGATTATGGAATACATTTATGGTCAGATAAATGTTTCTGATGTTAGTGCTTTGTGCACAGACATGGATTAAACCATTAACATATGGTTAGGGTGACTGCATTTGCCTCGCACAAGTGACTGATCTGCGCCATGAACACAGAGCAGGATGTGCAGGTCTGTACAGAGCAGTACTTTTATTTGTTTCTTGAACCGCTGTACAAAACTCCACTGACCGCTGTTGCCAAGAGAGCACCACGTACGAGGACCAGCATTAGGACCACAGACAGGGTTAGAAAACACACTTCAGGACATCAGTGTAAACAGCCTCATGTGGGCAAGCAGCTTTTTTACAGATCCAGTTCAAACCAAACTATAGAGCAGTGCTGAGCTGACACAGGGAGCGGACAAGGGGCTGTGCTCTACTGCGGGAGGGCATCTGGGCAGTGCACAAACGTGTTATGAATGTTAAGCATTTATCATTCTAATATATTCCAAAATAAAAGAAGCTTTGAGCATGTAACACGTTGATTTTCAATGGACTAGATATTTAATTTTACGATTCTGGCACTTCACTGAACGTGCCACACCACGCCCTCAGTCTGCTCCACTCCACCCCACCTGATATTCAGACACTGCACACCTCATGTTTAGAACTCCACGCCCCACAGTTGCGCTAGTGCTAAGATCAGGGGCAAGATCGGGCCCCTGTAGTGTCATCTGCAGGTACTTTAAAGGGCCCATATTGTGCTATTTTCTGATCTCTGTTATAATGCTGTTACCTCTTCAAAAACCTTTCAAAAGTTGTTTTGTTTCATTCACACATATTTAGGCTGAGTTCTTGTCTCCAAAAGAAAAGTGTTACTCAAATGTGTGGATGACACAATACACAACTCCAGGTAAGTTTTTGAGGAGATTTTTGACAGCCTTAACCCCCAAATCTACTGACAGAAAAATCTGATCCTGTAGTGTGTTAAGGCAGTCGGCTTACTTCATTCTCTGGGCACAGAACGTTCAAGTTACCAAATTAATTCTCTGTCAAAGTTTTGTCATTTAGTCTGTGAAATTGCTGATTTTCTCTCTCAAATAGTGTACCTTTTGTAAAAAAAAAAAAAAAAAACAGAACTATGATGGTTTATGTTAACTCTTTAATTTTTACATTTTTATTTATGTCAGTTCATGCTGCGTTCAGACCAAAAAGGAGTAGGGCGTCTATGAACTATACTCTTGTGTACAAAGAAGAGGATTTTTATCGTGGACTTCCTTTGTCTCTCTTTTTAAGTTGTAATTACATGATAAATACAGGAAAAGGAAGCTAAGAATATCATGTAAACACTTAATTTATGATTTTCTCACTGATTTATTTGTGTCACAATCTGTTATGGTGCAGAGATAATAAATGATATGGAGTAACCATGGCAACAGTTTTTTCTATTTTAACTGTTATTTATGTTAAAGGAATCATATTACGCTATTTTCTGATCTATGTTATAATGTTGTTTCTTCATCAAAAACAGACCTGGAGTTGTGTTTTGTTTCATTCACACATGAACAAAAAGTGAAAGGAGCTGTTACTCGAAAACTACCACTACATGACATCACAAGGTGGAACAGAGCATTTTGAGCTTTGGAGATGTAAACAGACGAATAATAAAGAGTTACTCAAACATGTGAGTAAAGCAAACTCAACTCCAGGTCTGTTTTTGTTGTTACACCAAACCAGCTGTTGTGAAGGTTCAGTTGTGCTTTTGATCTCTGTGGATGAAAATAGTTCATAATTCTGGCTCTGGGGGCATTTGGTGAAGATTAATTTAACTCATTTTTACATGGAAAAATACACATTTCTCCCACAGTTTCTCTGGGTGAGAAAGAACATAGGCCCAACACTGACAAAACCACAGCCAGTGAGTTTTATCATACATGTGATTCTTCCGGATTTTTCCGGAATTCCGGGGGGGGGGCGTGTATCGATATTTATGTGGTACACGGCACTCAAGAATCTCAAAATGTTTTAGTACGACTTTGGTAAACGACGAAGCAGCATCGCTTCATGGATTGTCGCCGCATTATCGTTACCGTAGTCAGGAGCCAGTATGTATTACTCCGCGAGGAGTAATGTGCGCATTAGGACCGATAAGGACCCAAAATGGCACCTGTTAAGAGACATGTTTACGAAACAGAATTCAAACTGCGCAGAGCTCCGCGCGCCACGGGGCCCGATCACCGGTGTCGGCGGCAAGGTGGGGCATTTGAGGGCCGTGCCCCCCCTAGCGGCCGCTGGTGCCTCACCCCCCAGCACAGGCCGTTATTATTACTATTTAAAAATGATTTTGATTGGCGCATTTCACTTCGGGCTGAGGGCACAAACTTTACAATATCACAGTCTCTGTTTATTTAGTGTAGTGTGATTGGACAACTGTTCTGTCACGTCACGTCACGTCAACCTGCTGCGTCAACAAGTAGCTGCTTCACGATTAGCGGCAGCTGCTACTTTAGCCTAAAGCTCCACACAGGAAATTGGCGAGGACAGAGTCAAAGACACACTGACAGACCCTCCGCCGGGACCCGGGACTGTCGCCGCCCGGACTCGGGACAGTCTCTGCCGGGACTGGGGCAGTTGCCACCGGGCCGGGGCTCTCGCGGCCGCCGCCGGGGCCTTCACCTTATGAACAACTAAATGATTAATTGAAAGAATAATCACAAGATGAATTGATCACCAAAATAACTTTTAGTTGCAACCTTGGCAGATTCCCACCAGTCATGTAGTGTTAAATATTTAATATTATAAATATACTGTTAATACTCTATGCAATAAGGATAAATTTAGATTACTTTATTTATTTCAGATTCAAGAGATTTTATTGTCATTTTCATATGAAGCAATAGTTTAGAGCATCAAACACTGCATTAGTTTTGATGTGAAGCACAATACTACAGGTGTAAAACCCCACCCAATAACCCCTGAAGTACTAACTCCAGTGTAAACATTAGCACAGTAAGGATATTCAGGGCAGCACATATATAATAATGCAACAGTGCAAAGTCCAGGTCACTGATATTTTATTGGTGGATGTGGTTATTGTCCATGGGAGAAAGGCAGAGAGGGAAAGGGGGCAGTGTTCAGCAGCCTCACAGCCGGGGGATACAGGCTGTTGGTCAGTCTGGTTGTTCTGGTGTCTATGGACCTGTACTTTCTAACTGAGGGCAGCAGGTGGAAAAGGTGATGAGTAGGCTGGTGCCAGTGACGCAGACCACGGGTCATATAGATGCTACTGATCTGTGGGAGAGTTGTCCCAGTGAGTTTCCCCACTGTTTTTACCACCCGCTGGAGAGTGTGTAGGTTGGCCTTAGTGCAGCAGGAGAACCACACAAAAAATCCAGATGTCAGAACACTTCAGATGGCACAGTTGTAGAAGTTCCTCATTAGTGCACTGGGGATGTTGGCGCTCCTCAGTTTCCTCAAGTAGTAAAGGCGTTGTTGGGCCTCCCCACAGCTCAGGCAGTGTGAATACCTCAGGACAGGTCCTCAGTCATGGTCACCCTCTCTACTACCTCAGTGCCGACACAGAGAGTTTGATGGTTGTTTTGCCCATTTTAGTTGAAGTCCACAATAATCTGCTTGGTTGTCACCATGAGGCCAGATGTCACACATCGTTCCTGTAGTCCGTCTCATCATCACTGTCCTTTTTCTCCAGGGGCGTAGTCTTCTATATGAGCTTCATCATTTGTTTTTGAGTCCTCCAAAAACCATTTGTCTCTTTTTGTTCCTCCATTAAATCCACAGGTCCAGTGTGCTCCTCAGCACCTGCACAGTTACAATATAACACAGGGATCAGACAGTAAAAATCTTGTTATAAAACCTGCAAAGATTTAGTATAGGTTCTTTTCTCTCACCACTGTTGGAGTTTCTTGTTCCTCTGGAGATCTTCATCAGCAGTGATGCTTCAGTTTTGATTAGACTGAACTTCAGAGTAACAGCAGATTACACAGACTGAAGGCCTTCTCCCTTGTGTTGGGCCAAGTCTCTTATTGGACCAGGCCTCGATCACCTCTTCCTCTCATGTGGCTGAGAGCATCTGACGGGTCACACTCCAGAAAAGTTTCTGGATCCTAAAACACAAGTTTAGTGTAACTTTACATTCTACTTTATCACCCAGATTTAAATTATTTTCAGATAATAACTTACAGAAGTCTGTGGATCATCTGACTGGAGCGAGACAAGCCACTGCAGCTGTATACGTCTCAGCAGAGCTGGCAATGACTGTGGCTCCTAAAAGTGCAATAAAAGTACAAAACTCATTATTTATCATTATTTCATTAATTCTCTCATTTCTCAGAATACCTTGTGTTCCAACGTTACGATCAGGACTCCCTCTGGTGGTTAACTGCACTTTGTGGACGACACCATGGACAGTTCCATCAGCGACACGCCTTTCTTTTAAACTGAACAAAGTTCTTTAGTAATTAATACAAATATTACGTTAGTATTGGTCTTTACTCACCAGGACACGATGGATCTGACTGGAACATATTTCTGGACATATATATAATAAGACATCAACTTACACAGCGGCCCGCCCCCCCCAATCAAAGCCCTTTTAATGGAACTAGGGAGAAAGCCTTAAGTGTGCATCTACACTCCTTCTGTGTAATTCATCCACAAATATTAGAGCGATGCACTTTGGTTTAGGCCCTCGTTTGAATGAACAACCATCCTGAAAAACAGAGGCTTTTGCGTACCAATGCGCTGTGCAAAAAAGCAAGTACAGTGTTTTATCTTGTAAACACAGTTAAAATTCACCTTAAACAGGAGAAGAAGGGAGTGTCCCACCAACCGCCAAGTTAGTGAACAAACCCAAGTCTCCACAGCTTACAAATCAGTATAAAGTAAAAGTACAGTCTCCACAGAGACTGTTTACAGGAGTATAACGTTACAATATAGTACACATTTGTATACTATTTGTAGTACAAGGTATTCAGAAAACAACAAATTAAATGGGAGAATTAAGGAGTGTCCCACCAACTGAAAACTTAGTGAACAAACCCAGATCTCCACATATTACAAATTATTATAAAGTAAAAGTAAAAGTACAGTTTACAGAAAGACATAATGCCACGTAGATACACATGCATTGTAAACAGTTTAATTCTAAATACCATGGTTGTGCTAATTCTGCATTTTAAACTTAAATTACAATTACTGGGAAAAAAAAAAGAGCGAGAGAAAAGAGAGAAACTTAGTGTCCCACTAATTCTCTAGTGAATGGACAAACACAAGTCTCCACATCTGTTTACAGGAGTATAACATTACAATATAGTACACATTTGTTCATTTGTGTACTACTTGTAGTACAATGTAGTCATAAAACAACAACTCGAACGGGAGAATTAGGGAGTGTCCCACCAACCGACAAGTTAGTGAACAAATCTAGGTCTCCACGACTTACAAATTATGAAAAATAAAAAAAACAAAACTACAAAAAAAGACAAACTGACTGCCTGACAACAAACTGTTGAATGAGCAGACAAAAACAAATCTCCTAATGAAGACAGGGAAATGTTTCCTCCAATGAGGGATTTCATTGTAAGTATATTTAAATTGATTTTAAGTTTTTAAAAATTGTATTAAATTTTATTTTTTTTAGGTATTTTAAAAATAATATTAATGAGTTAGTTAACCCTCCTATGATCAGAGTGGAAGTAGCTCAAAGTAAATTCAAGGCAAGGTGTACTATACAGGAAACTACAAATAAGCATCAGATTGACTTTTTTCTCAATTAGAATTTAGTCATTGAGCACATTTAGAGAATTTGTTCATGCTATGTCTGTTACGTTCCTACATAGTTTTCCTTCCCTTTCAACACACAAACAAACACAGCAAACAAACACAGCACACGAGCGGGAATCGCACCAGCGACCCCACTACCTTCTCACCTCTAACCCACCTATGCCCAGAGTAGAATGCGAGGCGTAATATGCAGGACATCTGTGACATTGTAGCTTAAATTATGTTTATCTATTACTATTTACTTACTGATCATGTTTAACTTTTATTTTTTTTTGCTTATAAGACTTTTCAAGATTTTAGAAATCCTACATACTATTCCTTGCTTTCTCTTTTTTTTTTTTTTTTTTTTGAAACACACAAAAAGATGAAAAATTATTTTTGGCATGCAAAGCTACTACTACTACTACTTAACACACCGCTGAGATAAATAAATTGAAAAACTATGTACAAGTGAAATCGGCAGTGTTAAAGGTGGTAAATGTTGCCGAAATGATGTTACAAAGCCCAGAGTCTCAGAGACGGAATTCAGTCATCGTCCGAGTCAGGGTATGGGGGCAGGGGGCGGAAGTACCATGACAAACCTGCAGACATCCCAGAAGATGTGGAGGGGACGGGCTCTGGGGAACTGGAGGAAGGACGCGGCCTCTTGGAGCTGGGGTCTCCCTCTTCATCCGCATCTTCATCTCTGTGGCGCTTGGATCCACCGAGAGGCAGGACGTCCAGAGCAAGGCCCACAGGGGGAGGGCAAGGAGCAGGATGGCAGGAGGGCGCAGGAAGCACAGCAGCGGGAGAAGACGGGCGATGCTCCTCTTCAACGCTGGGACTGGGCGTAGGAGAAGGGCTCTCTGCTCGCTGCTGAGCAAAGGGGGTCGGGGGACGATCTCTCACATTCCGAGCTTGAGCAGGACGGGCCGCCTGGCGCCAGTCGGCCCAGAACTCCTCCGGAGGGAAAACCTGGTCGTCATCTTCTCCCTCCACGTCAACATCTTCATCTTCCTCTGAGAGACTTGAGTAGCCAGAGTCTACGTCATCCTCCTCCTCCTCCTCTTCTTCACTCCAGTCCTCTTCCTCATCATCATCCTCTTCCTCTCGTCCAAACACGTCCTCTCGCCGAGGAGGGGAGAAACGAGCAAGAACAAAAGGTATACTTACCTGCACCTCACCTGCGTCGTCCTCGCCTGGCAAGGAGCCGGCAGCAGGAGGGTCCCCCGGAGCGTCCCGCGGATCCGGAGTCACTGCAACATTTTACAACATTAACAAGTTGTTCCATACAAAGCCAGACAAATTTTTACACACAAGTCATTCTACAGAATTGTAAAAACAGGGAAAGACCAGAGCTGCTGGTCAGTGCAATATATTAGCCTATAACTACTTTTCCTTGGCTCACGTCCTGAATTACAGACTTACCAGCAAGGTTTTAGGTATAAATACAGGCCTACAGTTTTTGTACAAGACTCTAAACACAGAGGTCTGTCTGGCTTCTCTTGCACAAGTCCACAGTGCATCTGCCAGTGTGCAGTGCACCTCAGTAATCCATTCATCCCTAAAACTCGAGTAAAACTCAACCAAAACCTCATAACATGATCTCTTTCAATATAAAATGTACATCTCTGTAAATATTCTAGTGGAGAATCTTTGGCTGGGTGCCATTTTTTTTATTTTTTTCCCAAAAATGATCTAAAACACTGAATTTCGACACCTACAAACTAAACTGTCCTGTCAACCTCCAAGCGCTATTACAGTTTAAATGTCCATCGATTTGAGCTACCCGAGGCAGAAGATTTGCGGCAGAATAGTTTGGATTTAATATTTGATTTTATCGTCATCATTTTCATTCCATCTATTTTATTTTGCTTCCATGTGTAGAAAACATTGTAAATTTGTTTAGAAAGCTGCTGAATAAATAAAACTCAGTTGCATAGAATTGTCCCATCTTTATTGTCCCCAGGATCACAAAGGTCAGTTATGCTATCTCTAGTGGATGCAGTATTTGGGAGAAGATAGTAGGACTGTCCAGATAAGCTACCTCGACCCATATTCATACAAACAAGTAAATAATGTTGATTCTACAGTGGGAGCATTATTCAATTGGCCTAAATTGGCCTGTCGATATGTGCTACCTTTAGTCGGAGCCCTATTTGATAGCATAATACAACTGTCGAATATTCATACGCATATTCATAAAGATGAGTTGAAATGTACATGACTTAGGTATAAGTGTGATCACCGTGTGCAAACAGCGGCGACCCATAACAACGGCGGCCCATATCAACGGCGGCAGTTTTCCAGAAAATACTTTGATAACTTTTTACTTTGTACCCATACCAAGAAAAATAGGCCCCTTTTACCAGTTATTATTACAACCACAGTAAGTAATCGTCGATTGAAAGTCATAACCTCTCAAATTAAGCAGTTTCATATTCGACCTATGATACCATTTTACCCTAACCCGAGTAGAAATAGCCATGCGTGGATAAAATGGTTGACAACATGTAGCATTTAGTTCATTTTATCTGTCTTCACGAAGATTTCAGTGATCTGTCTTACCTCCAGGGAAGAGGTCCAGGCGGGCAACAGGGCGAGCCATGGTTGACTTA